CCCCCCCCCCCCCCCCCCCCCGTTTCAACCCACTCGCCTGCAGCACAGCCTCTCTCTTCCTCGCCTCTCTCTCGAGCGACGTCACTTTGGCGCGAAGCTCGCGGGCCGCGGGGGTGTCCCAAGACGAAGAGGCACCTGCTGATGTTTCCGATCCTTCTGTGGGGCCCCCGGCGGCAAGCCCCACGCCCTGCTTTCGCCGGAGCGCGGCTACCTCAAGACTAGACGAGGCATAATCAAAGACACGGCAGACGTCACACGTTACGCGTTACCAGAGTGAGGTACAGGCATGAACAATGGATACGCGATGAAGGATATATATATATATATAGAGAGAGAGAGAGAGTGAGAGAGAAGAGACTCGCTCAGAGACAGAGACAGAGACACACACATAGAGACAAAGAGAGAGAAAAAGAGAAAGACAGAGACAGAGAACATTGTACTGAAACAAAAGAAACGCAGTAGCGGTGGAGCGGAAGAACCAAAACAAGGAGAGGCCCGGCAGCAGCAACAACAACAACCGGCGGCAGAAATACAATCCACAGAACTAACACCAACAACGACGACTACAGCAGCAGCAGTTGCTACTGCAAACGACAAGTGACCAAACCAACCTGAGGTCGGCATTCTTCGCCTCCACCTCCCGGCATCGTCTCCTCGACTGGGCCACCTCATCGGCGTACGTCTTAGCGGCCTCTTCGAGACTCTCCGCCTTCTCCTCCGCGACACGCCTGGCCTCCTCCTCGCGCTTCAGCTTCCTGACGGCAGGGAGACAACAACACGCGCCCGCAGCAACAAAAGTGCGATGTAGTAAGCGAGCCATGGCGCTGCTACTGCTGTGCACACTCTGCGTGAGGTTTCTAACAACGGACTTATCCCCCACAGTAGTAAGCGAGCCATCGTGTACTGTGCATGCACTCTGTCTACGCTTTCAAAAAAAGCAAGGGGTCACCAAGTAGTAAGGGCGGTGGATTACTGGCATGGTTGGCGGGGTTCCAAATGATAGCGCGCGATCTGAACCCTCGTTTGCAAGCAAGTAATTCAACACGAACACCCTCCCTTGTCGCCCCAGGGGGGCGAGTCTCCGATGCCCCCCTTCGTCTGTCAAGACTGCCAACAGCCGCCGACGATCCACATGGGTAGACATTTATCGCCACCACTCACGAATCTGGCAGCAACTTGACCAGTTCGCGTTCTATTCATTGATTACCGACAGAGCTGCCAGTATTCCGTTGCAGAGGCTCTGAATGACAATACAATCAAGACCGACACACTGCAGAAGCATACAAAGGAGAGAACACAACTACACGTTCTTTCTGTCCACTAATTAAAACTAAATATTTCTGTGATCTTATATATATTTTCCAAAAGAAAAAAAAATAAGCCCAAACGAAGAACAACAACAACCAACTTGACGTACCGGTTGTACCTCTGCCGTTCCTGTTCACCACTGTGCCCCCCCTCTGCTCTAGCCGCCTCCAGCGCGGCGCGCTCGGCGCTGAGGTTCTCCCGAAGGTACGAAATTTCTTCCATCAAAACCGCCGCCTTCTTGCCGAAAACCGCACGGGCCTCCTCTTCTTCCTGGGTTAGAAATTTTACCTGAGATGGTGCAGAAAATGGCCCGCCAAAAGACAAAAATATCACTAGACAAACGTGTTTGGGTGGTGGTGCGGAAGTGGGTATGGTAGCTGCCGGTGATGTTGTTCGCGCGCTGTTTGTGGAGGAAGACATCAACCGTACTTACAACCGCGAGCTGTCGGAAACTTGGCACTCCTGTTCTCAGGAAGAGAAAGAGAATCGAATCGACGTGAGAAGCGGGGCGACAGAGCGTCAACGACGACACATTGTACCGCAAACTTCTTGACGGAGTGCCTCGCACCCAGACACTACCAAGACTCACTAAAATGTCTCTTTTTGGGTAGTAGACAACTTGTACCAGGAAAATACTTTATCGTTCCAGATTTTTGGTGCCGCTTTGCTGCTTTATTTCTCCCCGGTTTACTTCCTCTACGACAAGGACCTGCAGGTGACGAAAGACGCGAAGAAACGCTGATTGCCGAAGACTTAAGACTTCAACCCCACACAAATGCTCGCCCACGGGCACACCTATCGCACGCGTGGGAAGAGACCTACACCATCACTACCACCACCCTCAAGCTGGCGCGACTTTGAGGATCCCATACAAGAGGTAGGGGACCAGATCGCCGACGGATGTTTCCATGCCAACCCACAACCATGGTCAAAAGCACCATCGTGAAGCTGTACTAGAAACCGTGTTCGTCAAGATGAGTGGCGCAGCAACTTCTCAGCGAACCATCATCCATCGCACCTGTCGGAGCAGCTTGCCCTTCTCCCCCTCGGCTTCCCGCAGCATCACCTCGTACCGCAGCTTGTCCTTCTCCCTGAGCACCCGGCTCTCTTCCAGCTCCGACCTGAGTAGTATAATAGTAGATAACGTTGCGTGTTCAGAAGGCAACAAGACAGCCTCCTTTGCCCTTGTATGCCATCATACGGTTAGGGAAGAGCGTGACATCACCACCACAACCTTGGTCATAAGCAGCACTAGCAACAGCTGCAGGAGTAGCGACGACAGTGAAGCCAGAAACACCAGCAGAGTTAGTGCATCTTAGGAGGTTGGCGACGACGTACGAAGCATCTATCTACTGCTTCGAGCTGCTAGCTCCTGCTCAACGTATACCGCATGGCACACTAGTTTTCCTGCTGCAGCCTACACACCGCTGTTTCGCTACACTGTACGTAGATCACGACAATAAAGACTTGAAACTACTCTATGTACCTCGCGATCGCCGTCGAAGAGCTCGCCGCTTCGCTGCTATCACCTCCACCGCCGAGCCTCAGGCGCTTGTTACCAACAGCACTAGGGTCGCCCTTTGTCACCACTTCGATTAGTCCCCTGGCGGACCAGAGTTGCTTCTTCAGCCTGACATTTTTAAACCGGGGGTGGCGGCGTGACCACTACACGAACCACAAGAATGCTGCTGCTGTTGTTTCTTGTTGCCACTCGCAACGGACGGGTTGGCATCCTCAAATCGCGTTGGTCATTTTGAAATCTACAAAATGTGTACCGCCGTCCCTTGTTTTCGTTTCATGAATGCAATGCAAATTCACCTTTCTATAATCCGAAAAATGAAGTCGGTAAGCTACAACTAGCTAGAAGTTGATATGCGTACGACCTACCTGTGTTTTCTATAGATGTGTCAACATCTTCGCCTATTCATGCAGTGCATGGAACGCCATCCCACGGGACACTGCTGTACTGCTTTGAGCAAGCACCTCGATGAAAATTTCCGTTTCGCCCTTCGGTGTGGGTGTATTGCGCCAAAATCCAAAACTCAACTAATACCTCGAGATTCTCATTGCGCAACCCTTGTAGTACAAAAATAGGGGGGGCAGAAAGGAGGGTCACTCGTTGAAACTACCCACCACCCCAAAACATCAACGGCCAGCAACAATGAAGGAGATCTATGTAGGGAGATGTACGGCAGCAGCGCGTTAAGTTAGTCATGAGAATATTGGACCGTTTGCGACTTCGCGACTCACCCATCGTTTTCCTGTTTCAGCATCTTCTCGCGACCAGCGTCAGAGCCTTTTCCAGGCAGCAAGAACTCTCCACTGTCATCATAAACATCTGCAAGCAGTTCATCCCTAGTGTTCGCCATGTCGACCCCGCGCAGCCCGGGTGCCAGCGCCGCCGAGACTGTGCACGATGTGGTCTGCGCGAAGAAGAGGGGCTTCGTGCGATATTTTTGTACCCCAGGAGCGCGGAATACTCTTCGCGGACCCCCTTCTTTACTTGCTTGCCTGTCCCTTCAGTCACGCACGTGCCCCCGCTTTGCGAGTTTGCGACTAATAGCTGCGTGCCAGGGAGCATGTCGCTGTCCTTCCTCTTCTGTAAACCATGGTGAGCGCTACAACCGCAGGATAGTTTGCCTGGTTACACACACCCAAGCTGCTGCTGCGGTAATTCCACCGCTATTTTTAGACTTGCCGCCTCCGCGTCTGTCTCGACTCAGACTACTGACACGAGTTTAATGTGAAGAAAAACAACAACAAACAACAACAACTGCTGCCGCGGATTGCATTGCCTTTGTGTACGCGTCTTACGCTACGCTGGAAGAATCTGTAAGTTGACTGGCATGGCTGTGTTCAATTATGCGTATCGAGGGCGCGTCATTGGTAGCATTTGCACAAGCGAGCTATTATAAAAGTCGCACGCTTGTGAAGTTGTCCTTGTTTTTGCGTACATATGATACTTGTACCGCAACAACAGGGCGTAGACGACCTTGTGCAGGATACCAATGGGTACCAATACCAATTCGCACAAGGTTTACCCGTAGTTGCCGACAACCTCCTGCCAATCTCGCTCGCCAGGCATCCAGCCACGACCTGGAATCAGAAAAAGATTTGGGAGGCCGAGCAAGCGGACCTCAAGCAAAAAAAGGACGAGGCCAGTGCCAACAAGGAGCTCAAGAGGGACAGCGACAGGCGCTTCTACGAGAATTTGGCCGGGGGGAAGCCGCAGGACGCCTCCGCCGCCGCATTGAACTTCATGTACAACCCCCCCCCTGGGTACCAGCAGGTGAGTCGCTCGTTCTGCAAACGCATGACCCTGGATCAAAATTTAAATTACTCGAGATAAGAGTAGCGGATTTCTGACAGCGCTGGGGCACCGCAAAATGTAGAGGCGAGCAGTGTGACAAATGTGACGCTCTTGTGGCAAGGTACCCACGACAGGGGCCAACCCCAGCGAGCCGCTAGGTACTGCTGTTATTTTGGCGACGGCTCTGGGTGGGGGAGAGAGAGGCGTGAGTTTGTAGACAACCAACACCGCCACCACCATCACCTGTGTTTCGTGGCTATTCCTGGTCATGACAACATTCTCCCGCACTTCGCGGCATTTCAAAAATTCAACCCATCCCATTCGAATGTGGTTTTGTCTGGTTTTATCTCGAACGGGTAGTCTTCCTCTGATTGTATACGAAGTGGTATATATTTTCGAAAACTGTTCTATTAACAATAACTCATGCCTCCGCCGCGTCGAACCTGCCGCTGCCACCGCCACCGCCGCTTCAGCCCGAGGAGGAGGAACTTAACGATGACGACGAGGCGGTCAAGAAATTCAAAGCGTGAGTCTAGGTACACACAAAGAAGTGGTAGTTTATGTCCCTGCTAGCCTCGGCCATAGCGTGTGGGTTTCCAGTGTGAGACGCACCCTGTTGTGGTATATGACCGCTACTTCTGTTTGGCGTAGTTTGTGTGGTGTAGAGTTATCGGCACAACGGCGGCGCCACTGGTGTTGTCCTGGCCGTGGCGTAGTTCAATGATCAGCACTTCGCGTACGCAGAAAATGCGTTGCAAACATTGTGAAAAACAGCAGTAGCATACGGCAGTGGTAGTAGTTTGCCTTGCATGGGAACCAGACCGTTCTGAGCGAACGTGCTGTCTGTCGACAGTTGGAGGTGATAGGCGATGCCAATTGTTGCACAAGTCTTTCGGCTTGGGATAGCAACATCGACGTTTCATATCGCAGTTTGTCTCCTCCTACGTAGCAGCTCGAGCACCCGACTTGGCGGGCCCACCTATGACTTCATTGTCAAGCCCACAACACCATGCCTGCCGCATCTCTTCTGTTTCCCTTGTCACCTCAGTCTTGCCAAAATGAAGGCGGACCCCAACTTTTCGGCGGCGACACAAAGCTCGGAGCTGGAAAAGCTGGTGGGCAGGCGGGTAAACCCGGGCGTGTCCCTCGCGGAACAGCAGGAACGGTTCCCGTTCCTCAAGGACGCCCCGGTGGAACACGCCTACGCGGCGGGGGTGAAGGTGAGGGACTTTGTGGGAGAGTAGGGAATGCATGCCGGCCACAGTTTTGGTTTTGGCGCTCTTGGCTGGGCGACAACGGGGTGCACGAAGCAACTACTTACTGCGAGCGCAGTGTGTGCGAGACGCTGTAAGTCCTTCGCCAAGTTTGTGCAAACCACGCGAGAAACCCTTGGAAAATTCGGTATCTGTGAAGACGGACCAGTTGGGCGTTTTTGGCTCGTCTTTGTGGTGGAGTTCGCCCGCGACGGCGGCTTAGAACGAGATGGCTGTGCCTTGTAAGCGAGCTTTTCGTTTTTTGTTCTGTCCTCCTCAACAACGACTTCGTGCTCGGGCACTAACGGGAGAACTATGGACACCGACCATGAGGGGTGAAACCCGCCACGGGAAAAGAAAACGGAGATTTCGACCCACGTCAACAAGCGCCGTACCACATGTTGCTTTTTCAAGGCAACCATTCTTATCTATTGTCTCAAATGTCCCTTTGCCCCCCTTGTTTGTTCCGCTCCAATCCTTGATCAACGCGGCCCACGAAAGGTGAATTTCAAGCCTTTCAACAACGTGATCCGGCACGTCCGATGCATGCGCTGCGGCGAGTGGGGGCACCGAAGCGGCGACCGCGAGTGCAGCGTCGACGAGAACCCCCACGATGCGGAGCGCCAGAAGCGCGAAGACCCAATGTCGTACATGGCGGCCGCTTCTGGGGGTGGGAATTTGGACAGCTCTACGTATGGCGGGGGCGGAGATGACGCAAGCGTGGACCCGGACTCGGAGTACGTGAACAGTCTTTCGACGAAGAAGAAGCGGCGTCTGCTGAAGTTGCTGCAGAAGATGGAGGAGGGGGGCGGGGAGGCGAAGAAGAGCGCCAAGAAAAAAGATCGCAAAGGAAGCAAGAAGCGGAGCAGCAGCAAGCAGGGATCAAGAGAAAGTGACGGCGGTGGTGCCGGGAGTGGCTCCAAGAGAGAGAAGGAGAGGAGACAAAGCCGTAAGGGAACGAGTCGTGAGGAGGACGGGGAGGGGGAGCAGATATCTTCGAGAAGTGCCGTTAACGACCACAGGAAGGACAGGAAGCGAAAGAGAGAAGAGCGGGAGGATGGGAGCAGCAGGAGAACGGATAGCGATGATGTCAACGACCACAAGAGAGATATGGATTTGGCGGAGGATCGCGTAGTCGCGGAGGAAAGCGGCCAACATGCAGAAAGAAAGGCGGCGGGATTGGGGGCACGGTCTTCGTCGAGGGACGAAAAGGACGCCCAAGAAAAAAAGAGACGCCGAAAAAAGGAAAAAAAGAAGGGTCGGGTGGAGGATCACGACAGAGGCTCGACTCGTAAGAGCAGTAGCGGTCGCAACCACCGTCATGGCAAGGACAAGAAGTGAAAAGGAGAGCTTGCGACGGGTGGAGCTGTGTGTGTGTGTGTGCCGCGCAAGAACAAGTCATAATGGCCGCACAAATGGGAGGTCCAGCAGCTTCAGGCAGCAGAACTAGCAAGGCAGTTGCAAGGATATATTGTGGCATCGCTAAGAATAGCTATGATATATACCGTATATGACACAAGATAACACACCCCCTGGACCGATTTTCAAAGCTCGATTACTCCACGACGAAGAGGATGCATAAATGAAACAATACGTTTTCGAACAGCTCTCGACGAGACGGTTCCAACGCCGCCGTTTTCGGCGCTGTGACTCTTCCTGCTGTTGAGAAATCGAGCTTTGAAAATCGGCCAATGGGGTGTGTTATCTTGTGTCATATACGGTAGCTGGATGCCGGTGCACGATTCCGTTGTTTGGTTAGATAGTGTGACACGGTAAGAGAACCTGGAGTTCAACAAATGATATTTTTCCCGTCGGTTTACTTGTACCCGCTTCCGCGGCAAAGTCAGCAGATCTCTTTTCTGGAACAGCTTCTGGGAAACATAACCAGTCCGGTTGGTTGCAACTGCTGTGGGTGGAATTGCCCGATGGCGCTATGTACCATCCATACTTCGGGTGAGGCATCGCTTGTAGTGTACGGGCATTCCCGGCTGGGACCAAGTTTCAGCTCCTCTTCCTCGTGCGATAGCCACAATCTGTGTTTTAGCACGAGGGGGTCCGAGTAGTGCAGCCACTCAAGCATCGGAGGCGAACCCGAACAAGACATCGTCCCTCTGAGCCTCCAAGGGCACGAAGCCTCCCATTCAAGGGTGGAACTAACGAGACGGCCAGGCACCGCCATCCGCGGAGACCCTCTTATTAATCCTGACCTGTACCTGTCTCTCACGAGAATGGGCTTTTATTTCATGCTGCGACTAAAAAGTGGTGCTCGGCAGAACTTCTAATCTGCTGGGGCAATGTGGATGTCGTGCACACGATGACGGATGGATGACGTGATGAGCGAGATTGCTCCAACGTGTTGCGGTTGGTATGTGATACATGTAGATGGGCGATGGGTTGTCGCTTTGCCCCGATCTTGTGGATCGGTCTTCTAGTAACGGGGAACGTGTCGCAACAACAAACAGCATGTAGACTGCAGTACTAGTCTAGAGGTGTCAGGCGGCTTTCGCTGCTCTTCCAGACTTGCTTTGTATGTCTTCTGCCAAGAGAAGAGTCGAAAACCAAAAGTAGTTAACGTCTACTGTTAGGATCTAACAGATCTACAGCAGTAGTCACACTGACACCCCCAAGTAATCTCGAAGTACTGTACACCGAACCGAAATCATCTTCCCTTTGAGAGGAGTTTAGCGCCCTGCTTGCGCGTTGATGGGCTCCACGTTGCAGTTGCACCGCCGTTTTACATCTCGACCTGGTCCATCGACTGGTATGCATAGTGCAGACAGGGAGCCTACTCTATCTCAACAACTTTTGGAAGATGACATGTAGATTATCACAGCTGAGAGTATGTACTTCGGTATGCACGTATGTACCTTCCTACACTGCTGTTACTTCAGCAGTCCAACGACCGTAGCGTAGAAAGAACTCGACTTTCTTGCGTTTAGTTTGAGGATAAACGGACCGTAGATGCAGCTGTCAGTAGGGTATATATATCTTCGTGTGCGTCCATGCGATAACGAGCTGACACGATGTCCCGCGTTTTCCTGTGTCCTCCTGTGCTGCTGTGTCCTTGAGCCTCAGTGCCTGCTGGTGCCTGAGCCCTGAGCCTGAGCAGCGTTGTTGAAGCGTTGCTAACTTTGGTTCTCTCGAAGCGTCACGGAACATACCGCGTGTTTCGCCGAGCGGAAGAGGAGAGAGAGAGACTTCCCGACTGCTCCGGACTCCCGACGTCGTCCCTCTCCATATCGGGGACGAGCGTTTGTGAGAGGGAGAGAACAGCCAGCGCCAAAGGCAGAGTCGATGAGTCGGGAGTTGGGCCTCGAGATCTCTCAGTCTACGGCAAGTCCATCTATGGAGGAAGCGAAAGGTGACTGCTACACATTCTGGAAAGTCTTTGCGTCACGCGTCCACGGTAGTGTAGGACAGAGATGGACGCACAAAACCGCCCCTACGCACTGCACCAGCCACGAGCCGCGGTTATCCACACAAGCTCCTCCTACCCACATAGGTTCAGTATCAGTGGGCTGATTGAAAAAGCCGAAGGAAGAGGTTGGGTCACCGCTGCCAATATCCCGCTGCTTCTTCCCGTTGAAACTTGGATGACGGCTGCACCTGTTCTCGCGTGGATCCAACTCTATTTAGCCACAGTTTGGTCGATAGAAGTGCTGTTGTGTGAAGGAGGCCCACGACAGAGCCAGGGTAGCTGCCAACTACCGAAACAGTTACCACGATCGATATCGAGAGCCTATTCGGTCGCGTGCTTTGCCCATCATTGAAAATATGTACACGAAACCAACCCATGCAGCAGTTGCGGATTCTTCAACGGTTTTTTGGTTTTCTTCAGGATGGCCAAGCGGGAGAGGTGGGAGAGCAGCTTCGGGAGAGAGAAAGGGGGTAAAGTCACACACCAAATGACCATGCCGGAATTAATTTTTTCGAGAGGAGAAATTCGGCGATGTGCGCAAGCAGTGCTGCTGCTGTGTAGTATCTAGAACTTTGCTGGCGCTGTATGCTACACGTGGTGTATGCTAGCAAGCAGGAGAGATCTGAGTGTGTACATCCTTGTATTTAGCACAAGCAAGAGACTTTCTTCATCAACCATGCGAACGAAACACCACAAAACACTCTGTGTGGAAACTTGCAGGCACACCCGAATTGGGGTATACTGAACTTCTATCCTAACCTCCCAAGCGTATGGTTAGGGGGGGAGTAAAGTGACTATTAATAGTCTAGATGACTCATCACATATCGTCAGGACGTTTCTTGCACGAGCTCTGCGATAGGTGTGTCAATAGCAACCATCTCGCGGCCAGAGCGATGCCCGTCAACCCGTTTGTCGCCTGGTACCACCTGTCCGTCGGTTTCAGTACGCTTTCCGCAGCCCGGCCTTGATTTCGTTGCCACCAGCAAGGGAATGCTGATCATCACACCCAACGCAAAACACCACGGGGCACAACTACCACCACCAACGAACAGCAGCAGAAGCAAAACAACCACCACTACAACATCGAGAAGGTAAAGCGTAGCCTGAACGGTCCCAAGAAAGGTCTACAGGCCCCCTCACGCGCTCGAACGCATCCAATTCCACAATCATAACGCCATTCACAACCACCAACAGCAGCCGCCGCCGCCCCGGAAACAAACCAAGAAGACGAGACCCAGGAAGAGAGCGCTTCCAACGTTCTCCGGAGATTGTCCTCCCCGATCTTCGGCGCGGCCGGCTTCAACTCGGACAGCGAGGACAACGACCACGGCGACGGTGACTTCAACAACACCAACGAATCGAGGGGTGATGGCGACGGCAGCGATGACGAGGAGGAGACGGAGCGCAAGGAAGGCGCCGCCGAGTTGGTTCAGCGGTGGTGGCGGGAGTGCCGGCGTGCGTCGAAGCGCACGAGGGCCGTGGTTGCGGCGAGACCTGCGTTCGTTCGAATCCAGCAGCTCTTTGACAAGGTGCGGTGGTGTGGCGTAGGGGGGGCACAGGGGAGCGTGTTTCACGTTGTTGTCGGCTCGTGTCTCTGTGCCGCCCATCTCAACCGAGATAACAAAAGCCGTGAAGATGGACAGTGCGTGTGCTGTAGCACGATTGGAGTGTAGGAGGGGAAGGCGGGGCGTATTCCCTTGTTGGTTGATCATATGTCTTTGTTCCGCTAATCTCAACCGAGATAGCAAAAATCCTGGAGAACGACAGCAGTGCACCCCCGCGCGGTCAATTTCTCCGAGCCCTCATCATCAGGAACAGATAGCCAATCAACGTCTTCAGACCTCTTGTGTGAACACGCCCAATAGCTCTCGGGCGCCTCCCCTCCAGGCTGTGCTTCTGACTAGGCCCCTTTTCCCCCGCTCCCATCGCGCTTGCCTCCTTCCTTACCGTCTGGTGTATCTGCGTGTTGTGTGGCAGCTGGACGCCGGTCAGATGTCGTTCGAGAGGACCGGACTCGCCTTGCAGAATCCCGACATCCAGCGCGCCGTTACCAAGGCCCTTAGCGCGGTGCCGAGGGACGATGCGTTGCTGGCGATGCCGAAAGCGTCCAGGCAAGCATATGCATACGCGCATATGTTTAGTGATCTACCATATCTTGGCCTCCACTGTACTTACTATTTTGTTGTTGCTGTTGAACATATATTGTGTCAACGTACACACCGCGCACGTTGGCTGCTTGGCGGAAAAAACGAAATGAACAAGCCCAAGAGGTCTTTTGGCTAGACCGTATATTGTGTCAACGTACATACCGCGCACGTTGGCTGCTTGGCGGAAAAAACGAAATGAACAAGCCCGAGAGGTCTTTTGGCTAGACCACAACCGAACAAGAGATCGCGGAGAGTACAATATGTAGACTCTTTTGCTTACACGAACTGGGTCAGTGCACCATCCCAAGGGGCAAGAATCTCATCGCGTAAGTATGATACAGCAGTAGTCGAGTCGGTGATTAATCCAACTATTAACACGTCCGCTTCGTTTGGAAGCGAAGAGAAAATAGACCACTTTTCCTTTGCAGCAGTGGCCCATGAGAGAACAAACACCGTCCTTGACAAATTGCGTCAAGTTCTCCACAGCAGTACGTAGCCAAAGCAATCCTGTGCACGTGCATGACATTTTACGATAATTCGGGTTTGAAAAACGGGAGCCACATGTTCTTTTGGCGAGCTTCTTTTTTTTCCTGCTCTACGTTCCGCTCACGCGCTTGCCTTGCGCAACCGTTGCCGTGATGTTGACCGGCGTTTTCTTCCGTTCTTTTTTCACTCTTATCCGCGTGTTGCTACGCTGCTCCAGATCTACTCGGGCGGTCCTGTCATCCCTGATGATCGTGTACCATCCTGGCGAGGTGCTGACGGCTGAAGGCGACGACGAGGAAAGCGGTGATGCCGGTGGGTTGTTTGTTTTGACGTGTTGTATGGTCAGTGTCATAGGCCGTTTCTACCTGCGTTAAGTTTCGTGGGGGGGGGGTACAATAAGCGGTGTGTATTGTGATGAACGAAGGACCATGTGGCCGCCGACACATGGTGTGCGTGTTGTGTTCGGCTGTACCAAAGATTTCTTGCAGCTAGTTTGCGCGCCACGTGGACAATGAAGGTATTTGCCTTTTTACCAGGCATGTGAAGGTGCGTTTTTCGCGATAATACCTATTTCCACACCTACCTGGTGAGAGTAAGCACCATGATCGTTTCACTTTCTTAGGATTTTTTTATAGGGCACGGGCGCGACAGCAATATATCAGACCACCATCATCACGGCAATCAACCACACAACACATATGCGACGCCCCCATTTTCCCGGGAGCAGTAGCGGCGGCGGCAGAAACGACGGCATCATCGTCAACGACACCCCCTTCCCCGACCCGCCTGGGCTCCGCGGCAGAACCAACACCCGTGGAAGGCGTCGCCGCTAAGAAGAAGCTAGACCCGGTGGCGGCAGCGCTGCGTAACGCCTCCGCCTTGCTCCTGGCCTCCATCAAGGCGGTCACGGCTGCGCTCGGTCCGGTAGTGTCGGGGGAGAAGGGCGCACGGAAGGTTAGTGGGATGGCTTGGTCCTGGGGCAATTTTTGCGATCGGGCGCGGGGGGGGGGGGGGAGGGGGGCGCGTTCTGGTGGTGGCGTGGGTGGAAGGGGAGGTGCGAGGGGGAGTCAGCCGTACGAGTTTGCCGTGATCGTTTGGCCATTAAAGAAACAGCGCATCTCGTCGACAATCAAGGATCACAAAGGTGGTTTGGATCAGGTGTTTCGCCTCATACCCCGCCGACCCGGGGGGTCGGAAGAGCCCACGTTCAATATTGTATCTAGAGTATTTTTGGACTCTCAAAGACGTGCTTCTCAATGCTCGTGAGGCGTTGCGTCTGACGCTCAACCGCAACAACTAACTATACGGTTGACGGCGTTTGGTGAAGACATTTACCTTGAAGACCCGTGCCTCGTTCCATCTCCCCCCGCACACACAATCTTATTCCGTGTGCCACCCACCCTGTCCCTTTTGTTGCGGTTTACTACTCCCTCTCCCCCCCCCCCCCCCCCCCCC